TTCCATAGAAGCATAGAAGAATTGGAAGGGACCCCCAAGGGCCATCTACTCTGACCCCAATCTGCCATCATCGCCATCACCATAATAGGATCCTAGAGTTAGAAGGAAACTCTGAGGGTCATCTAGTCTGACCCCAATCTGCCATCATCGCCATCACCATTATAGAATACTAGTTAGAAGGACCCCAAAGGGCCATCTAGTCTGACCCCAATCTGTCATCATCATCATCACCATCATAGAATCCTAGAGTTGGAAGGGATCACCAAAGTTCATCTCGTCTGACCCCAATCTGACATCATCATCACCACCATAGAATCCTACTGGTGGAAGGGACCCCCAAGGACCATCTAGTCTGACTCCAATCTGCCATCATCATCACCACCACCACAGAATCCTAGAGTTGGAAGGGACCCCTAAGGGACATCTAGTCTGACACCAATCTGCCATCATCATCACCACCATAGAATCCTACTGTTGGAAGGGACCCCCAAGGGCCATCTAGTCTGACCCCAATCTGCCATCATCATCATCATCACCATCATCACTGTCATAGAATAATAGACTTAGAGTTGGGACCACCAAGGGCCACATAATTTGCCATCATCACCATGGAATCCTAGAGTTGGAAGGGACCCCCAAAGGACATCTAGTCTGACCCCAATCTGCCATCATCACCACCACAGAATCCTAGAGTTGGAAGGGACCCCAAAGGTTCATCTAGTCTGACCCCAATCTGACATCATCATCATCATCATCATCATCATCATCACCATCATCACTGTCATAGAATAATAGACTTAGAGTTGGGACCACCAAAGGCCACATAGTCTGCCATCATCACCATGGAATCCTAGAGTTGGAAGGGACCCCCAAAGGACATCTAGTCTGACCCCAATCTGCCATCATCATCATCATCATCACCATCACCACCACCACCACCACCATCATAAAATCCTAGAGTTGAAAGGGATCACCAAGGGTCATCTAGTCTGACCCCAAACTGATGTCATCATCATCATCACCATAGAATCCTAGAGTTGGAAGGGACCCCTAAGGGCCATGTTGTCTGATCCCAATCTGCCATCATAATCATCATCATCYTCACRATCATAGAATACTAGTTAGAAGGACCCCAAAGGGCCTTCTAGTCTGACCCCAATCTGCCATCATCATCACCATCATAGAATCCTAGAGTTGGAAGGGACCCCCAAGGGTCATCTAGTCTGACCCCAATCTGCCATCCTCATCACCATCATAGAATTCTAGAGTTGGAAGGGACCCCCAAGGGTCATCTAGTCTGACCCCAATCTGCCATCCTCATCACCACCATAAAATCCTACAGTTGGAAGGGACCTCCAAGGGCAATCTAGTCTGACCCCAATCTGCCATCATCATCATCATAGAATAATAGACTCTTATAGTTGGGACCACCAAAGGCCACATAGTCTGACCCCAATCTGCCATCATCACCATCATGGAATATTAAGAGTTGGAAGGGACCCCCAAAGGACATCTAGTCTGACCCCAATCTGCCATCATCATCATCATCAAATCCTAGAGTTGGAAGGGATCACCAAGGGTCATCTAGTCTGACCCCAAACTGCTGTCATCACCACCATCATAGAATCCTAGAGTTGGAAAGGACCCCCAGGGCCATCTAGTCTGACCCTAATCTACCATCCTCATAATCACCATCATACTGGAGGTCTTTGGAGGGATTTATGGGAGTTGTAGTTCACCTACATCCAGAGCGCTCTATGAACCCAAGTAACAATGGATCTGGACCAAACTTGGCATGCATACCTGATATGCCTAAATTTGAATACTGGTGGGTTTTGAGGGGAATAGGCCTAGACATTTTGGAGTTGTAAGTACTGGGATTTATAGTTCATCTGAAATCCATAAGCACTCTGAACTCCACCAAAGATGGAATTGGACCAAACTTGGCACACAGAGCCCCAATGACCTGCAAAAGATATTGGAGGTCCTTGGGTGAAATTCACCTTGATTTGAGGAAGTTGTAGTTCACCTACATCCGGAGACCACTGTGAACCCAATCACTGATGGATCTGGACCAAACCCGGCACGCATACCTGATATGCTGAAATTTGATTACTGGAGGAGTTTGGGGGGGGGGGGCAGGACTGACCTTTCTTTCTGGGAGTTGTAGTTCACCCACAACCAAGGAAACTGTGCCCTCCAACAATGATGGACCTGGACCAAACTTGGCACACACAACCCCCATGACTAACTCTACCTACTGGAGGGCTTTGAGGGGACTGACTCATCATAGTGGGAGTTGTAGTTTACCCTGCAGCCAGAGAGGACACTGAACCCCACCAATGATGCATCTGGAGTAAACTTGGCGAACATCACAAACTTTTAAGTACGGATGGAGTTTCTCAGGGTTAGCCTGGCATGATGGGAGTTGTAGTTCACCCACAACCATATGCATTTTGTACAATTAGAAAACTGACCTTTACCAATGGGGTACTCAAGGTAGTATATAATGAAACACACTCTGCATGATGGCATCGCTGGGGTGAATTGTATATTTTGATGATTTCAATGCAGTTGCGAGTCCCAAACAAACAGTTAATCCCTCCTGATGGCATTACGCAGAGTGTGTTGAATTTAAAAGCCTGCAAAGACGGCAGAGATTTCCACCACCGAAGAGCTCTGCTTACAGCCAGGAAGTTCTTCCTAATCTTCAGGTGGCATCTCCTTTCCTTCCTGTAATTTGAACCCTCGGCTCCATTGAGTCCCAGTCTCCGGGGCAGCAGAAAACAAGCCTCTTCCTTTCAAAACAAACAAAGCAAAAGAGGCTGTTACGAGGCAGGCGGGTGACCCGTAATAGTCCACGTGAAAGGGATCAAGGAGTCTGAGCAGAACACAAGGCTCAACGTGAGCCAAGAGGCAGATGCAGCTGCGGAAAAAGCCAATGTGATTCTAGGCCACGTCAATAAGGGGTCGAGCGCCCAGATCAAGGGGAGTAATAGTCATGTTTTGTTCCTCACCTGGAATATTATTACAATGTCCAGTTCCAGGCAAAGCAATTCAAGAAGGAGATGGACACAACGGAAAGTGACCAAAATGGTCCAAGGTCTGGAAACTATGAATCCCTTTGAGAAAGTATGTTTAACTTGGGACCCAAGTGCAGGCTTTCATGGGGGATAATTTCATCCTAGATTTCATGTGTTTCCTCCACCACAGGCATCCCAGTGTTCCTTACTCTCTCCATTGGTGTGGAATTTGCATTACCCCCCGCCCCACCCAAATTAAGGCTTTCATTTGAGGACCATTTCATCCTAGGTTTCATGTGTTTCCTCCACTACAGGCATCCCAGTGTTCCTTACTCTCTCCATTGGTGTAGAATTTGCATGAACTCCCCACCCCGCCCAAATTAAGGCTTTCATTTGAGGACCATTTCATCCTAGATTTCATGTGTTTCCTCCACTACAGATATCCCAGTGTTCCTTACTCTCTCCATTGGTGTATAATTTGCATGAACTCCCCACCCCACCCAAATTAGGGCTTTCATTTGAGGACCATTTCATCCTAGATTTAATGTGTTCCCTCCACCACAGACATCCAAGTATTCCTTACTCTCTCCATTGGTGTATAATTTGCATGACCCCCAATTCACCCAAATTATGGCTTTCATTTGAGGACCATTTCATCCTAGATTTCATGTGTTCCCTCCACCACAGACATCCCAGTGTTCCTTACTCTCTCCATGGGTGTGGAATTTGCATTGCCCATCCACCCACCCACTCCAACTCTACTCCAACTCTAGGTTTCAGATTGCAGCAACGTCTCCTTCTACGGAGGACTAAGAGAGACTGGATGGCCATCTGTTGGGAGGGCTTTGATGGTGCCTCCCCACCTGGCAGAAGCGGATTGGACTGGACAGCCCTTGGGGTCACTTCCGACTCTATGAGTCTATGATTCCACACCCACCCACTCCAACTCTACTCCAACTCTAGGTTTCAGATTGCAGCAACGTCTCCTTCTACGGAGGACTAAGAGAGACTGGATGGCCATCTGTTGGGAGGGCTTTGATGGTGCCTCCCCACCTGGCAGAAGCGGATTGGACTGGACAGCCCTTGGGGTCACTTCCGACTCTATGAGTCTATGATTCCACACCCACCCACTCCAACTCTACTCCAACTCTAGGTTTCAGATTGCAGCAACGTCTCCTTCTACGGAGGACTAAGAGAGACTGGATGGCCATCTGTTGGGAGGGCTTTGATGGTGCCTCCCCACCTGGCAGAAGCGGATTGGACTGGACAGCCCTTGGGGTCACTTCCGACTCTATGAGTCTATGATTCCACACCCACCCACTCCAACTCTACTCCAACTCTAGGTTTCAGATTGCAGCAACGTCTCCTTCTACGGAGGACTAAGAGAGACTGGATGGCCATCTGTTGGGAGGGCTTTGATGGTGCCTCCCCACCTGGCAGAAGCAGATAGGACTGGGTGGCCCTTGGGGTCACTTCCGACTCTATGAGTCTATGATTCCACACCCACCCACTCCAACTCTACTCCAACTCTAGGTTTCAGATTGCAGCAACGTCTCCTTCTATGGAGGACTAAGAGAGACTGGATGGCCATCTGTTGGGAGGGCTTTGATGGTGCCTCCCCACCTGGCAGAAGCGGATTGGACTGGACAGCCCTTGGGGTCACTTCTGACTCTATGAGTCTATGATTCCAGGCGCGGCCATATACCCAAAGGGGGTTTTGACCAGAAATAGGGAGCCAGCCTCGATCCCGGCACCGTCGTCGTTGTTGTCGCTGCTGCGGAGACATAGCGACTGGCCTAGATATAGCCGCAGTTGCTATGGAGACTGGAACAGGATAACCTGGCGGGTCCGGATGCAGGCGGCATTTCCATAGAGACCCATTGAGGGGGGACCGGACCCTTGAGAGAGCCCTCCCCCTTTGCAACCGGGAAAAGTTCAGGTGGCATTCAAAGGAGACGGAGACGTGGAGCGCCTTACCTGGGCAAGGTGACCACATCTACTGGGCGTCTGGGCGGCTCTCCTTCAAGCTGCTGCCTCCAAATTCGCCGGAGCAAGAACCGCTGAAGATGGAAAAGGAAAAATATATATTGTTGTTGTTGTTGTTTACTTTAACACAGTGTTTCCCAACATTCCTGACGCCATGACACTTAACACAATTCCTTATGTTGTGGTGACCCCCAACCACAACATTATTTTTGTTGCTACTTCACAACTGTAATTTTGCTACTGTTATTAATCATCATGTAAATATCTGATATGCAGGAGGTATTTTCATTCACTGGACTAAATTTGGCATAAATACCCAATATGCCCAAATTTGAATACTCATTTGGGAGTTGTAGTTGCTGGGATTTATAGTTCACATGCAATCAAAGAGCATTTTGAACTCCACCTGCGTTGGAATTGAACCAAACTTGGCACAAAGAAGAGTTTGGAGAAAAAACACCTTGACATTTGGGAGTTGTAGTTGCTGGGATTTATAGTTCACCTGCAATCAAAGACCCTTTTGAACTCCACCTGTGTTGGAATTGAACCAAACTTGGCACAAAGAAGAGTTTGGAGAAAAAACACCTTGACATTTGGGAATTGTAGTTGCTGGGATTTATAGTTCACCTGCAATCAAAGAGCATTTTGAACTCCACCTGTGTTGGAATGGAACCAAACTTGGCACAAAGAAGAGTTTGGAGAAAAAACACCTCGACATTTGGGAATTGTAGTTGCTGGGATTTATAGTTCACCTGCAATCAAAGACCCTTTTGAACTCCACCTGTGTTGGAATTGAACCAAACTTGGCACAAAGAAGAGTTTGGAGAAAAAACACCTTGACATTTGGGAATTGTAGTTGCTGGGATTTATAGTTCACCTGCAATCAAAGAGCATTTTGAACTCCACCTGTGTTGGAATGGAACCAAATATTGGCGCACAGAACTCCCATGACCAACAGAAAATACTGGAAGGGTTTGGGGCATTGACCTTGAGTTTGGGAGTTGTAGTTCACCTACATCCAGAGAGCACTGTGGACAAATAAGGAAGGATCTGGACCAAACTTGGCATGAATACTCCATATGCCCAAATTTGAACACTGGTGGAGTTTGGGGAAAATAGACCTTGACATATGGGAGTTGTAGTTGCTGGGATTTATAGTTCACCTACAATCAAAGAGCATTCTGAACCCCACTAAGGAGAGAATTGGGCCAAACTTCCCACATAGAACCCCCATGACCAACAGAAAATACTGTGTTGTCTGATGGTCTTTGGCGACCCCTCTGACACCCCTTCATGACCCCCCAGGGATCCCGAACCCCAGGCTGAGAAACAGTTAACACAAATTTTTCGGAACATTCACGCAACCTGCAAAGAAATCAAATAAATAATAATAATAATAATAATTGTTAGCTGCCATTTAACTCAAAGTACCCTTCCCCTTCTCTTTTTTCCTTCCTTCCTCCTTCCCTTCCCCCCTCTTCCCTTCCCTTCCTTTACTTCTTCCTCCTTCCTCCTCCCTGCCCGCCTTCCCTCCTTCCCCTTCCCTCTTTTTCCTTCCGTCCTTCCTTCCTTCCTCTTTCTCTTCTTCCCTCTTTCCTTCCCTTCTTTGATTTCTTTCTTTCCCCCCTACCCTCCTTCCTTTCCCTTCCCTTCCTGTCTTCCTCCCTCCCTTTCTTTCCTTTCCTTCCCATCCTTCTCCTTCCTTTACTTCTTCTCTTCCCTTCCCTGCCTGCCTTCCTCTTTCTCTTCTTCCCTCTTTCCTTCCCTTCTTTGATTTCTTTCTTTCCCCCCTACCCTCCTTCCTTTCCCTTCCCTTCCTGTCTTCCTCCCTCCCTTTCTTTCCTTTCCTTCCCATCCTTCTCCTTCCTTTACTTCTTCTCTTCCCTTCCCTGCCTGCCTTCCTTCCTTCCTTCCTTCCTCCCTTCCTTCCTTCCTCCTTCCCTCTTTCCTTCCCTTCTTTTGACTTCTTCCTTTCCCCCATACCCTCCTTCCTTTCCTTCCCTTCCCGCCTTCCTCCCTCTTTCCCTTTTTTCTCCTTCTTTCCTTTCCCCCCTTCCCTTCCTTCTCCTCCTTCCTCCCCTTCCCTTCTCTTTCCTTCCTTCCTTCCTCCTTCCCTTCCTCCCTCTTCCTTTCCCTTCTTTGACTTCTTCCTTTCCCCTGTACCCTCCTTCCTTTCTCTTCCCTTCTTGCCTTCCTTCCCTCTTTCCCTTCCTTCCCCCCTTTCTTTCCTTCCCTTCCCTTCCTTCTCCTTCGTTTACTTCTTCCCTTCCCTCCTTCCCTACCCTCCTTCCCCTTCCCTCTCTTTTTCCTTCCTTCCTTCCTTCCTTCCTTCCTTCCTTCCTTCCTTCCTTCCTCCCTCCTTCCTCTTTCTTTCCCTTCTTTGACTTCTTCCTTTCCCCTGTACCCTCCTTCCTTTCTCTTCCCTTCTTGCCTTCCTACCCTCTTTCCCTTCCCTCTCTTTTTCCTTCCTTCCTTCCCTCCTTCCTCCTTCCCTCCCTCCCTCTTTCTTTCCCTTCTTTGACTTCTTCCTTTCCCCTGTACCCTCCTTCCTTTCTCTTCCCTTCTTGCCTTCCTTCCCTCTTTCCCTTCCTTCCTTCCTTCTCCTTCTTCCTCCTTCCTTCCTTCCTCCTCCCTCCCTTCCCTTCCCTCCCTCCTTCCCTTCCTTTCTTTCTTTCCCTTCTTTGACTTCTTCCTTTCCCCTGTACCCTCCTTCCTTTCTCTTCCCTTCTTGCCTTCCTACCCTCTTTCCCTTCCCTCTCTTTTTCCTTCCTTCCTTCCCTCCTTCCTCCCTTCTTCCCTTCCCTTCCCTCCTTCCCTACCCTCCTTCCCCTTCCCTCTTTTTCCTTCCTTCCTTCCTCCCTTTCTATCCTTCCCGGTTTCATGTCTGGAATTCCTGTTTTTCGAAGGCCACAGCAACGCGTGGCCAGGTACAGCTAGTTTAGTATAAACTACAAAGATGGATTCAATTGAGGACTAGAAACATGTTTTTATAAAATTAATTTAAAAATAAAGATTTCCAGGAATTCAAATAGCTTATGTTCAGTTTCCAGGCAACGGATTTCCTCCATGAAAAGCTTTTCAGAAGGTTGCGACTCTGCGACTCGCAGTTTTCCGGCCGTCAGAAAATGCATTCACTACGATATCGATATCTATATAAACAGACCAAAACAATGGTGATATCCTTCTTTGGCGGCACTCAATCCGAGGCGGGGAAAGCATTGCTTTCAAGATCTGTCCCTGAAAACGTCCTGCCGAAATGCCATTTCGAGAACAGAAAGAAGAAGCTGCGCTTAGGAAAGTCACGAACCATCCGCAAAGTGATTTCTTCTCAATCATGAGTGCTGAAAATAGCCAGCTTCGAATGCATTCAGATTAGAATTGCAAGCTTATTTATTTGTCATGTCAGGACAACCAGTCAATTGTATTACATTTCTAACAGAACAAAACAAACAAACAGACAAAATACAAAATTTGCAAGTTTGGTAGTTGATTAAATGTCCTTTGACCAGTATCTGGCCACTTGGAGTGCTTCTGGTGTTGCTGCAAGAAGGTCCTCCATTGTGCATGTGGCAGGGCTCAGGTTGCATTGCAGCAGGTGGTCAGTGGTTTGCTCTTCTCCACACTCGCATGTCATGGATTCCACTTTGTGGCCCCATTTCTGAAGGTTGGCTCTGCATCTCGTGGTGCCAGAGCGCAGTCTGTTCAGCGCCTTCCAAGTCACCCAGTCCTCTGTGTGCCCAGGGGGAGTCTCTCATTTGGTATCAGCCATTGGTTGAGGTTCTGGGTTTGAGCCTGCCACTTTTGGACTCTCGCTTGCTGAGGTGTTCCAGCGAGTGTCTCTGTAGATCTTAGAAAACTATTTCTAGATTTAAGTCGTTGACGTGTTGGCTGATACCCAAACACCCCGTGATAATGCGGCATGTCTCATTAAGAGCCGCACCTACTGTTTTAGCGTGGTGAGATATGTCCCAAACTGGGCATGCATACTCAGCAGCAGAGTAGCATAGCACAAGGGCAGGTGTCTTCACTGTGTCTGGTTGTGATCCCCAGGTTGTGCCAGTCAGCTTTCGTATGATATTGTTTCTAGCACCCACTTTTTGCTTGATGTTCAGGCAGTGCTTCTTGTAGGTAAGAGCACGGTCCAGGGTGTAACTGCTAAACATTATTCCCTGATATCGCAATATATTCATAGAGCCATACCATTGGAAGAGAATCCCAAATGCCATCCAGCTCAACTCCATTCATTCAGACACCATCAAAGCCCTCCCGACAGATGGCCATCAAACCTCTGCTTAAAAACCTTATCCATAAAACTATAAAATAATAGAGTTTAAACCTGATCCGCAGAAGTACAGAGTTGTAAAAGACCTTTAAATACCATCAATTCCAACTTCATTCTGACGAGGGGAAATACACCATCAAAGCCCTCCCGATAGATGACCATCCAGCCTCTGCTTAAAAACCTGACGCACTGAAACATAAAATCACAGGAATGAAAACCCAATCCATAGAATTATAGCGTTGGAAGAGACTGCCAAGGGCCACCCAGTCCAACCCCATTCTGCCATGCAAAAATACACAATCAAAGCCCTCCTGGCAGATGGCCATCTAGCCTCTGCTTAAAACCCTTATTCATAGAATTGTAAAATACTAGAGTTAAAACCTGATCCATGGAAGTATGGAGTTGGAAAAGACCTCTAAAGGTTGTCTAGTTCAACCTCATTCTGACAAGGAGAAAGAGACAATCAAAGCCCTCCCAACAGATGACCATCCAGACTCTTCTTAAAAGCTTGATTCAAAGAATCATAAAATCATAAGAATTAAAATCAGATCCATACGTAGAATTATAGAGTTGGAAGAGACCTCCAAAGACCATCTAGTCCAACCTTATTCTGACAAGGGGAAAGAGTCCATCGAAGCCCTCCCGACAGATGGCCTACTGGACTTTGCCTTAACACCTGATCCATAGAATTATAAAATAAGAGAGTTAAAACCTGATCCACAGAAGTATAGAGTTGGAAGAGACCTCTAAGGGTCATCCAATCCATCCCCATTCTGACAAGGGGAAAGAGAC